GCCGTCATATTGCTGAGTGCGGCGTTAAACAACAAACAAACAAAACTGATTGTTCAGCTCCCAACGTTAGCAAAACCTATAAAATACTGACGAAAGTTACAAGCTTTGTTCATATGAAAAAATATGTTGCTTTATTTCAATACGCGCATGTGTTATATGTATAGCAACGCCAAATGAGTAGTTGATGCTGAAACGCGTTGAAAATCATTTTCCTAATATTTGAACATGAGCATTTTTGTAGGGCCAAGTGGACCTTTTCAGGACATAAAGATACAGTCTGTTCAAAGTTGGTAAACACACTTTGGGTCCTGGACACCTAAAGTTTAGCCATTCTAAGGAATTACCAGAATAAATGAAATGAATGAACTCCAAAAGACTAGTGTAAGAAAGGAAAATGCTTAGATGTACCTAATGGCACTTAAACACGTTTGATGATTTTCATACCAAGTTTTACTGCCGTTAAAATTTGACATTATAGCCGTCTTTCCTTTCTTCATCATGATGGCATGACGTCCGACGGATAATCAAGACTGGTTAATCTATTGCATTGACAATTTATATCCAAGAGAAAACATAGACAATGAACTCAATTGTTGTCAGGGGCAACCTGCAGATCTATAACGTCTGTTACAAGTTTGATGATTCGACCTTAGCAATTTGTTGTAGCAAAGTATTTTCTGGATATTTCAGTTTTTTTAACTTGCATGGAACGGATTCTGTTTTAAACGTTTAAAGCAAGAGAGGAACATACATGTATATGCATACACTTCTCCTTCAGGGCCCAGGGGCGGTCGGGTAGCCTAGTGGTTAAAGCGTTCGCTCGTCACGCCGAAGACCCGGGTTCGATTCCCGACATGGGTACAATGTTTGAAGCCCATTTATGGTGTCCCCCGCCGTGATATTGCTGGAATATTGCTAAAAGCGGCGTAAAATCTCACTCACTCACTCACTCCTTCAGGGCCCACTTGCACAAAGCGATCTTAGCGCTAAGATGATCGTAACTCCCATACTTTAGCATAGGCTTACAATAGTCTTAGCACTAAGATCGCTTTGTGCAAGTGGGCCCTGGTGTTACAGTGGCCAATATTGAGTCACATGTCAGACCATTTTGGGAAGAGCTCCCAATTCCGGTGATGGAGAAATCTTTAGATTATGTTGATTCCGAAGGATTAGAATGATTTCCCTGAGTTAGACCATGTTATGGTCGATGTATAATTCAGTTTTTATTGTATAAAATGAACGTTCAGGATGGCTAGTGAATTCCTAGATCAGTAACAACTGCAAGAACAATGGTTTAAACGTTGGAAAAAACTCAGTTCCAAAGTTTTGGGATGGGAACAGGGTCATGTTTTCAATCTGACAAAATCAGCGTTTCACTGGATCTACAGTCGGAGTAATATACAATAGCTCTAACTGTCATATGTCTATTCTGAAAATGAACGCTATCGTCGAACTGAGCGAAAACGTAGTCACCTTGACCTCTTCGAATACTCTGCAGCACGATCAACTTTATGGGGATTAGTGAGTGATTGAGTGATTGAGTGATTGAGTGAGTGAGTGCTTGAGTGAGTGGGTGGGTGGTTGGGTGAGTGAGTGAGTGAGTGGGTATGGTTTATGGGGATTAGTGAGTGAGTGAGTGAGTGAGTGAGTGAGTGAGTGGGTATGGTTTAACGCCGAATTTATTAATATCCCATAGGGGGACACCAGAAAACAGATCGGCTTTATACTATTGCGAAGTAGGATTCGCTTGACAAAATAAAACCCTAGAGGGTGTCATTATGTTTACAATTATTATTTCTTTAATTCTATTCTTGTTGTGTGTGTCGTCGTCAGTTTCAGTGTTTCACTGGAAGTAGAAGCCCAATGGTAGGTAGCCATCGGGAAAAAAAACGAAACACCATAGGCAAGGCCACATTAGGATTTGTCAGCCAGCATAATACCCGGGGATCAGTGGTTCCTCTTGGTGAGCACCATCGGGAGACACTTCGGGCTTTCATCCCACATCAAGGTGACTCGCCGTGATACAACTGAAATACTATTCGAAGTAGCGTTAAACCCACCAGCTCACTCACTAACAGACCAACAAACACGTGAACAATACCCGCTTTGATAGGGAGTGTACACCTGAATATATAACGTCACCAGTAGAGATTATCCATCTCGATTACCCAACGATTATCCAAGCGTAAAAGGCAAAAGAGCGGTGAAAATAATATGAATTGAAGACAGAAACTAAGTGATAACACCAGGTGCAGAAAAGGTACACAGGTCCTGCCCTATTGGTAGCCCCCGCGACAAACACAATCTTCATGGACCGCCTCCGTGGTCTAGTGGTAGAGCGTCCGCCCGGAGAGCGGAAGGTCCGGGGTTCGATCCCCAGCCGCGTCAGACCAAAAGACGTTAAAAGATGGTACTTGTTGTTACCCTGTCTGGCGCTCGGCATTAAGGGGCTAAAACAAGGACTGGTCTGCTCGGAGTCAGTTACTGTGTCTGAGTGGGGTATTTATGTTAAACTGCGGCATGGTATCTCAGTGTGCTAGCACTATAGATCGGCATCAGTCCAGACTACTACAAGCAGCCACACACACAGACGTACATGCACGTCGCTATATAAGTGCAAAAATCTTGGACACAACGTTAAACCCCATTTCACCTCACCTCACCTCACCTCACCACAATCTTCATGACAAAGTAGGTGGCTGTTTGTTGCCTGATGCCGGTAAATACAAAGCACCAATAATTAATAGAAGACGTCTACGAAGCGAAGGGAATAGACTTTCTGTATGCAAGCTCTACCCATCTGGATCACGCCGATAGCTGCTATCACCCCCGACAGACACTATTAATTATCAAGCGAGTCTAATGTTGCAATTTATCAACACAATCCAGTCACCATGGACCCTCGACAGACGTTATTCATTACTTTCATTGAACTTCATATTGACTCGTCGACATCGTGCTGATCAAGCAAAGGTAATCTATCAGTCCAATGGCGAGGATTATGGATGGCTCGGAACGACGATGGCTCAAATACCTACAGCGATGTTTTGTTTTGTAGATGTACGTCAGGTAATCGTCAATAGTAATGATTCACGAAAACTTGCTGTCAAATTTGACCTTCCATCGTAATGTCACTCTCCTTGTTATGACCCGTGAAGATCCTGGGTAGAGCCCATGCTTGCCGTAAAAGGCGACTATGCTTGTCGTAAGAGGCGACTAACGGGATCGGTTGGTCAGGCTCGCTGATTTGGTTGATGCATGTCATCGTATCCCAATCGCGTGGATCGATGCTCATGATGTCAATCACTGGATTGTCTGGTCCAAACTCGATTATTTACAGACCGCCGTCATATAGCTGGAATATTGCTGAGCGCGGCGTTAAACAACAAAAAAACAAACAAATGTAGACATATCTATATATCTATATATAATATCAGTAACATTGATTTATTCCTTTTAGAATTTCAACAAAGAGTTAAAGACTGTCGTGTTCAATCTCTATTTGCAAAGTTTAATGAACATTCAAATTTAGATTTTTCGCAAGTGAACCATATTTGCTTCTTTTGCACCAAAGAGACCAAAGAAATATTCAACATTATTAAGAATTGGAGAATAAAAAATTATGAAAAACATAAGTTGGCGAGAGGGTGTACCTAGAAACCTTAAATTTGTACTTTTGTAAAACTCTTATAGAAGATGAGTTACATTTAGTTAGTATGCCAAAATTATGATATTTTAAGACACACTTATTTTCACAACAATAACTTAAAAAATGAATATTCTCCCAGAACTTTACTACAAATTTCTAACATTGAAACCCTGTCATTATGTGCTAAATACATTAAAGATGCCCTATCTTCGCGTTATTCATTATTATAATTCTAATTTGTACTTTGTATATAATACATGTATGTATAGGGTACTTAAGCCTGTGGTCTTTATACTGAAATAAACTTCTTCTTACATAGACTATAGAAATTATTTGATGTTTTGGGTCAGGGAAGAACTAAAATTTCCCATTCAGCTTTTTTATGTTTGTAGTGCCGGTGTCCCGGTATAAACTCTCCCCCGTACAAATTTACCCCCCGGAGATTTTATACCGGTACAGATTCTCCCCCGGAGAATCTGTTCTGAAATAAAATCTCCCCCTGGCGGATATATTTCGCGCCCCCCCTCAGTATAAAGTCTACCCCCTGATTATTCGGTTTGTTGCAATGTCTTTAAGTACTATATTCTTTAAATAGTTATCTTTAATGTAAGGAGGGTTACTTTAAAAAATAGATTATGAAATACGGTCATAATGAATTGATATTTCAGCATATTTTATTTGGTAACTGTACCTTCCATCCTAAAATAATTATAAAACATAATCATACCAAACACATTTGAATGAAATGACTGAATGTAACAAATACATGTACGGTTACTGTTGTAACTGAATTTCAGAAATCTTATTAATCCTCGCCAACATTCGGTTTTAACACTGTCAACTGTCAACATATCCACGCGCGCCTCCAGATTTGACCAACAAATTATAGACTGAATGTCAGGTGTATGTGCATCAACTCAAACTGATCATTGCAATACCTGCTTCATTCTGCTCACTACATCCCCATCCAATAAACATTTCTCGTTTGGGTACAATGTGTGAAGCCTATTTCTGGTGTCCCCCGCTGGAATGTTGCTAAAAGCGGAGTTAAATCATACTCACTCACTCACTCATTTTCAGCCACCATCAAACATGGGTGTATACTTTCTTTCGCTCGGCAGTTTATATCAGAATAATACTTTAGTTGTAAGGATAACAAGAAGAAGAAATTAGAAAACCTACCCCAAACACATATTCAGATTGTGTTTCTTTTCACAATCGTTAATATCGTAAAAGTATAACATTACTGGGATAAGTGTGTGACTACATAAACTAATAGGATCATAAAAAAACACCAGTTTTGGTAAACAAGGTGTCATATTTTGGTTAGAAATTCTTTTCAAATTCTTACCTTTCTCCTGGGGCGAGAGACTTGCTTTTCAAAACTGGTTAGAAGATTCCTTTCAAGATTAAACTGTTTGTTTAAGTTCAAAGCTAAAATCATCAGTCTTGAAGTGTGTATCAAATTAGTCCCACACAATGAACTGTCGTCTGCTGGCTGTCGTCTGCTCAGATGTGAAGGCGGCGGGCGACGCCATATTGGGTTTCAAACACTGAATCTGCGCTTCATCCAGGAAATGAGGTAAGGCTAAGATTTAGACAGTGTAATTAGCACTTGGACACAGCAAGGCGGAGCACAATAGTCTGCCGGAGCTGTTAACAATGTCGTCTGCTCGCTAGAGCGGCCTCCGTCACCACGGCTACTTGGAGAAGATGCTTTGTTTCCCAGGGCGAGATTGTCTGGGGTTCTTAAAACGCAGCAACCGACACTCTCATTGTTGCAATGTCCCATCGGTGACCGCCCAATGCCTTAATTACCTGGCGAGTTAGAGCGACGAATTACGCTGCCGGTTCGAACACGCTGGCGTTGCCATGAGAGAATACGCACAGGACGACGTATCTCGCAGAGTCGTGAAATGAAATGGCGCGACAAACAGCCGCTTGGAGAAAAAAACCAAGTTCAAACTGACACCTTTCGTCAACAACGACGCCGACATGTAGTACAAGACAGGGTTTACATCGATCTCCGAGAATCAGTTTCAAGTCGAAACTTTCCGCCAATAGGTGAGTGAGTGAGTGAGTTAAGATTTATCGTCACATCGGCAATATTTCAGCCATATATTGACGAGATCAATTTATACATAAAAATAAAGACATTTTGACGGAAAAAAAAACTGTCAACAAAGGACAGTAAAACAAACTAGGCTATCACAGATATGACTATAAAACTAGCATGGAACAGTTATTGTTACCATAAAAAGATGTAACAATACACAATACATGATAAAAATGGGCTATTGATCGCCAGCCACTGAAGGTAGATCACCACACTGGGGACCATGGGGACTTACAGTACTTTTGCTATCTGGGCCCTAGCAGGATTTAAATCGCCAATGGAAAGTTGTATAATATTCAAGAGCGTATCCAGCATATATAAAAGGCAGGGGTAGACATATCAAAATCCCCTCTTAGGTAATTTTACTGCCTACAATATATTACATTTGGTTTTCCAAGGGGAGGGTGGTGGGGGGCCGGACTCCTAATGACTCTCCAATGAGTTTGAATAATAAATCAATGCGACAAAACCCTTTCAATATTCATAAGAAATCTGCAAAATTATATACGATTCCGATTTTGGCACGAACATATGGTTATGAATCACTATGAAATAGTGATTATACCAGGTGTTCGCGAAAAGGTGAGCATACCCTGCCCCACGGTGCCACCCGTCACAAACACATGCAAAGGCAAGTCAATTGTTTACCTGAAAAAAAAACACACGGGGGAAAACATGGTACAGGCAAAGTATGGAATTCCATCGGACAGCACTTTTGTCACTGATACGTCAAATTTGGAAATATAGTCCACATGTCTGCCATAAAACCTTTTGAGGTCGTGAATGCTGTAACCTTGATAAAACAATATTTGCTGAAATCATTTGGCGAGGGTATCGTTTTTTTAAAAGGAATATCCTAAATATCAGGATGGTTTTACAAGGTGCTCTAAATATCACTCTCTACGAATGAAAAGTGATTAAAGATGTGTCAAATATATACTAAGATAAATTCATAGATTGCTGTAGACTGTCTATCGATACTACAATAGTTTGGATGTGTATTTCACTAGGATAGGTAATAGCGAGGACATTCGTGAACGATCATGCAGTCAAACTCTCTGAGGTTCCTCAATGTATACTAAACCGCTGAGTTCAAGATTAAAGGGTCAGAAAGAACGCTTCTGTTTGTATTCGTGCTGGGGAATTCCCAGGGGTTTCCCCGGAAATTTGGAAGTTGTCCGTCAGTGTTTACGTCATTTCAAGAACACGGTCTCGTGAAAAACGTCAGATTGTGTCGTTCATACACTTATGAACGTCAATTTCGCGGGCATGTGACCGATCTCTTGTCCTATAGAAAAGCCGTACATCGTGTAAAATCCAAATCAGAAACCTATTTGATCTTGACTGCCTCCATGGTCCAGTGGTGGTTGTCCGCTAAGAGAGCGAAAGGTCCGGGATTCGATCCCCGGGCGTGTCATACCAAAAGACGTTAAAACATGGTACTTGTTGTTACCCTGTCTGGCGCTCGACATTAAGGAGCTAAAACAAGGACTGGTCGGCTCGGAGTCAGTATACTGTGTCTGGGTTGAGGATCCATGTTAAACTGCGGCGTGGTATCTCAGTAGGCTAGCACTATAACATCGGCATTAGTACGGACTAATCCACACACACACACACACACACACGCACGCACGCACGCACGCACGCTCGCACGCACGTCACGATGTAAGTGCAATAATCTTGGACGCGACGTTAAATCCAGTTTCCCGTCACCCCTTATTGATCTTCCTGCCAATGGTGACATAAAAGTAATTATTGACACCTCGCAAAGAAGACTTTACTAAATCATTATCATCAGATGCATGTAACCAATACTTGGACATGTCATCATTTCAAAATGCCTGTCGACAATGATTTAGAAAGAAGTACTTCTCCTTAAATATTAGGGGGCACAGGTGGCCCAGTCGTCTAAGGCGCCGCGATTCGCTGTGCAGAGTTGTCCCTTGGGCACACCAGAAACCTATGACTGTGGGTTCGAATCCCGGTTCGCCCCGATTATCTTTCTAGGTTTGTCAGTACTATACCCGTGCTCGTGGCTTTCACGGACGTGGTAACGCCTGAGACCTGCATCACTTCGGGCTTTCCTCTCACATTAAGCTGGCACGCCGTGATATAACTGGAATACTGTTAAAAGCGGCGTTAAACACAACTCACTCACTCTGTAAATATTAGCTGCTGTGGTCATGGGAGACATCAAATTGGTTGTTTTTAATCAGAACGATCTCATTAAAATCATATCTTAGTTCTCGCTACCGCTAAACTAGGATCTGAGAACATCCCATTACGGGTCACGTCAGACCGACCTTGCGCGAACTTTGACCGACCAATTGAATGACCAATCAGAAGGCAGCTTTCTCGTGCTTTACGGCACTAATTTCAAATTGACGACTACGCTTCGAAACATATTTTGACAAATTCTCGATTACAAATTTGAAACCTGAACAAAAAACATTCTGGAATGGCTAATAGATGGTCTAGATTGTAAGGATTCAGTCGTTAAACCCGTAACTACCGTTCGGAATACCCCATGTTAAAGATTTCGAGGTTGCATAATTAGAAATCACATCCCGACTGTCACTTTCATAATCTGGTAAGCGACGCTCTGATTGGTCGAATGAAAGGTCGTTCTGACGTGACCCCTAATGGGATGTCTTCAGATCTTTGTTTAGCGGTAGCGAAAACTAAGGTCTGATTTTAATAAGATTGCAATCAGTGGGGGTTATTGTAATTTGAACCTCTGATTGACCGATCAGAATCGAGTATATCCAAATTCATTGTTTACTTAACCAGCATACATAATCAGATCTCATTAATGTCAGGTTGACCGTTCTGAATGACACCCAGACGTGAAGCAACGCCATCGCATCTTCATGACGAAAATACCAAGGTGTAATTCCCAGCGTGCACAGTTAGATATTATACAACGTCTGAGCTATTTTGTTACTAATCTGTTTCTAGGTTTGTCAGCACCCGTGCTCGTGGGTTTCACCGAAGTGGTAAACGTTTGAGACCTGCATCACTTCGGGCTTTCCTCCCACATTAAGCTGACACGCCGTGATATGACTGGAATAATGTTTAAAGCGGCTTTAAACCAAACTCACTCACTCACTCTTATTAATCTTTTTTTATCCATTCCGTGTCAAATCCCTATTGCTGTGGAAAATATGTTGAATAATAATTGTTGGTTTTCAAAAGGTGGATTTGACATATGTCACTTATATCAAGTTCTCTGATCAAACACTTAATGTTGTGAGTGAGTGAGTGAGTTGGGTTTAACGCCGCTTTTAACAGCATTCCAGTTATATCACGGCGTGTCAGCTTAATGTGGGAGGAGTGATGCAGGTGTCTGACGTTTACCACATCGGTGAAACCCACGAGCACAGGTATGGGGCTGACAAACCTAGAAACATGATCGGGGCGAACTGGGATTCGAACCCACAATCATAGGTTTCTGGCGTCCCCAAGGGACGCAACTCTGCACAGCGAATTGCGGCACCTTAGACGACTGGGCCATCCGTGCCCCCACTTATTGTAGTGATGCTTACATATACTGGTTATGTCATTTGACGCTTTGTCAGAGGGAACAGCTGCAAACTTGTCATGATGGGCAGCCAGACTTTAAATGGCAGGCTGGGACAGAATATGTTTATTCCAATTCTGTTTCCTCTTTGCGAAAATTGTTGATTTGAAATGATGCATTGTTATATACAGTAAACTACGGTTATAACGAACTCAAAGGGACTGCTAATTTTAGTTCGTTATAACCGTAGTTCGTTATAAGCATATATGCAGTTATTACTGTAAATAGTCGGGACCAAAAAGTAAGTTCGTTATATCCGTCAGTTCGTTATAAGCGTGTTCGTTATACCCGTAGTTTACTGTATTACATACTCACCGACAACAGAAACGCGAACACATATATGTTGGTTAATGTATGAAGACTGAATTACTCGTAGGAATTCTGTAGGAAAATAATTGCATGTTTAGAAAGCGTCAAAATACACAAAAGGTTTTACACTCTTTCCCGAGAAGATCCAGGTTAGAATTGGTCTTTTCAGCAACCCATGCTTGTCGTAAGAGGCGACTAACAGGATCGGGTGGTCAGACTCGGTGACTTGGTTGATGCACGTCATCGTATCCTAATTGTGTAGATCGGTGCTCATGATGTCAATCACTGGATTACTTGGTCCAAACTCGAATATTTACAGACCACTGTCACATAGCTGGAATATTGCTGAGTTCGGCGATAAACAACAAATAATTCGTCTCATGTTACAGATTTTTACCAGCTACAATCATAATAAAGTATAAGATTTCATTCAGAATGGCAAAAAACATATTAAATCAAAGCGCAAAACACCCATTTCCATGGTAAAAAAATCGGATAAAAACATCAAATACATCGATATGCTTTTTTGAAAGCGCATATTAATACTCGATAAATCTTTTTTTACAGTATGAATCATAAACAACTTTTATTCTAATCTTTTTCTAAACACTGAAACGTGCAACGTAGATCGTGTTAGGTAGGCAGAGCATGTATACTGTTTTGTTGGTCATCTACCGCCTACGACTCGACCTTCGTTAAACCGCTGATCATCTTTAACGCTCATCAATTATTTGGACCCCGAAGGTAGCGTTGAAGCGAGGGGTCACTGTAGAGTGAGTGAGTGAGTTGGGTTTAACGCCGCTTTTAACAGTATTCCAGTTATATCGCGGCGTGTCAGCTTAATGTAGGAGGAAAGCCCGAAGTGATGCAGGTCTCAGACGTTTACCACTTCGGTGAAACCCACGAGCACGGGTATGGTGCTGACAAACCTAGAAACATAATCGGGGCGAGCCGGGATTCGAACCCACAATAATAGGTTTCTGGCGTGCCCAAGGGACGCAACTCTGCACAGCGAATCGCGGCGCCTTAGACGACTGAGCCACCTGTGCCCCCGGGTCACTGTAGAGACGACACAAGCATGTGAGCGAAAGGTTACGCGTGCCTTCTCGCGAACACCTGGTTTCATCACTGTTTGATAGTGATTCATGAACACATGCTCATGATATAGTCGGAATCGTACAATCGACTCTTATGATGACGGAAGTATTTTTTGTCGCTTTTATCTTAGACTAACACAAACAAAACAATGGTAGACATAATGATACTTGGTAGTGGTCTTGCATACTATCTCCGGGGATACCTATTATACTATACACTAGGTGAGGTGAAATGGGGTTTAACGTCGCGTCCAAGATTATTGCACTTATGTAGCGGCGTGCATGCACGTGTATATGTGTGTGTGTGGCTGCTTGTACTAGTCCGGACTGATGCCGGTTTATAGTGCTAGCTCACTGAGATACCAAGCCGCAGCTTAACATAAATACCCCACTCAGACACAGTATACTGACTCCGAGCCGACTAGTCCTTGTTTTAGCCCCTTAATGCCGAGCGCCAGACAGGGTAACAACAAGTACCATCCTTTAACGTCTTTTGGTATGACGCGGCTGGGGATTGAATCCCGGACCTTCCGCTCTCCGGGCGGACACTCTACCATTAGACCACGGAGGCGGTCTTACTATACACTAATTGCGGACTTGTAATCCCTGCAGAGAATTATTTTGATTAATATCCAAAGGGTTTTGTCGCTTTATTTTTATGACAATTTATCTAATTTGTAACAGGAATCTATTGGGACTAACGAAGTTAACGGGATTTCACAGTTGAGTTGAAATGGGGTTTAACGTCTCGTCCAAGATTATTATTGCTCTTATATAGCGACGTGCATGCACGCGTGTGTGTGTGCGTGCGTGCGTGCGTGCGTGCGTGCGTGCATGCGTGCGTGCCCGTGCTTGTACCAGCCTGGACTGAGGCCGATTTATAGTGCTAGCTCACTGAGATACCATGCCGCAGTTCAACATGAATACCCCACTCAGACACAGTATACTGACTCCGCGCCGACCAGTCCTTGTTTTAGCCGCTTAATGCCGAGCACCAGGCAGAGTAACAACAAGTACCATCTTTTACATGGCAGAGCTTGGTGAACGTTCTCCTGAATTATGCAGTGGATTATCTTGGAGTTACCATGACAACTTCCTTTGTGAAGTGACGTCACGATCTCTATCTTTCTTAATGGTAACGAGTCACACAAAAAGGCACGAGCACGGACCCAAAATGAGTGAGTGAGTTGGGTTTAACGCCGCTTTTAACATTATTCCAGTTATATCACGGCGTGTCAGCTTAATGTGGGAGGAGAGCCTCAGGTGATGCAGGTCTCTGACGTTTACTTCTTTGGTGATACCCACGAGCACGGGTATGGTGCTGACAAACCTAGAAACATAATCAGGGCGAACCGGGATACGATTCCGCAATCATAGGTTTCTGGCGTGACCAAGGGACGCAACTCTAAAAAGCGAATTGCGGCGCCTTAGACGACGCCCGTGCCCTCGACTCAAAATGAAACTATGTACGGTATGAGTAAGAGTGTAAGAAAAACAAATGATGATGAGAGTAAAAACAACAAAAGATGACCATAATATAAGGAACAAAACACCCTAATAACAATATATGAAAGGCAACAACAATTTCAATATTATTCTTATAACTTTAACAATAATATAAGAATATCAATAATATAGATATATTTAGAGTGAGTGTCTACGCCGCTACCAGCAGCTTACCTTTGGATGAAAACCCGAATTTTTGCAGGTCTTAGACATTTACGGCTTTGAAACCCACAAACACGGGTGAGACAACCAGGGATCGAAATCAGCACGGATCTGGGATTCGAACCTACAATCACAGGGTCCTGGTACGCCTGAATGACGCAACGCTGCGCAACAAATTGCACCCCCTGAGACACCTGGGCCAGCAACGCCCTCGAGGTACTCAACACTGACACTGACAGGGTGGAGAGAAGGACGTTATTTTACAGCGCTTCAGGGAATTTTGTCCTTTTGTGTTCAAACTTAAATAAGTACTGTCGGAAATGCGAGAAAAACTGCTTTTCTGGCTTCATGGAATAAATACGAGTCAAAGGACTATAAAAGAGCATATATCAAAATAACGCGAACTGACCTAATCTAGCCTGTCCTAACTGACATTGTGATTACCCTTAAAATGTACCTTTACAGGAAAAATAAGTAAGCTTCAGGAATAATGAGCAGCTGGAATAGGGAAGTGCTGGAATAATGAGCTGCCGGAATAATGAGCTTCTGGAATAGTAAGCTTCTGGAATAATGAGCTGCTGGAATAATGAGCTGCCGGAATAATGAGCTTCTGGAATAGTAAGCTTCTGGAATAAGGAGCTGCTGGAATAGTAAGCTTCTGGAATAAGGAGCTGCTGGAATAATGAGATGCTGGAATAATGAGCTGCCGGAATAAGGAGCTGCTGGCATAGTAAGGTTCTGGAATAATGAGCTGCTGGAATAATGAGATGCTGGAATAATGAGCTGCCGGAATAATGAGCTGCTGGCATAGTAAGCTTCTGGAATAGTAAGCTTCTGGAATAAGTAGATGCTGGAATAATGAGCTGCTGGAATAATGAGCTGCCGGAATAATGAGCTGCTGTCATAGTAAGCTTCTGGAATAATGAGCTGCTGGAATAAGGATATGCTGGAATAAGGAGCTGCTGGAATTGTAAGCTTCTGGAATAATGAGCTGCTGGAATAATGAGCTGCCGGAATAATGAGCTGCTGTCATAGTAAGCTTCTGGAATAAGGATCTGCTGGAATAAGGAGCTGCTGGCATAGTAAGCTTCTGGAATAATGAGCTGCTGGAATAAGGAGCTTCTGGAATAGTAATCTTCTGGAATAAGGAGCCGCTGGAATGATGAGCTGCCGGAATAATGAGCTGCTGGCATAGTAAGCTTCTGGAATAATGAGCTGCAGGAATAATGAGATGCTGGATGAGGAGCTGCTGGAATAATGAGCTGCCGGAATAATGAGATGCTGGAATAATGAGATGCTGGATGAGGAGCTGCTGGAATAATGAGCTGCCGGAATAATGAGATGCTGGAATAAGGAGCTGCTGGAATAATGAGCTGCCGGAATAATGAGATGCTGGAATAATGAGATGCTGGATGAGGAGCTGCTGGAATAATGAGCTGCCGGAATAATGAGAGGCTGGAATAAGGAGCTGCTGGAATAATGAGCTGCCGGAATAATGAGCTGCTGTCATAGTAAGCTTCTGGAATAATGAGCTGCTGGAATAAGGATATGCTGGAATAAGGAGCTGCTGGAATAGTAAGCTTCTGGAATAATGAGCTGCTGGAATAATGAGCTGCTGGAATAATGAGCTGCTGTCATAGTAAGCTTCTGGAATAATGAGCTGCTGGCATAGTAAGCTTCTGGAATAATGAGCTGCTGGAATAATGAGCTGCTGGAATAAGGAGCTTCTGGAATAGTAATCTTCTGGAATAAGGAGCTGCTGGAATGATGAGCTGCCGGAATAATGAGCTGCTGGCATAGTAAGCTTCTGGAATAATGAGCTGCTGGAATAATGAGATGCTGGATGAGGAGCTGCTGGAATAATGAGCTGCCGGAATAATGAGATACTGGAATAAGGAGCTGCTGGAACAATGAGCTGCCGGAATAATGAGATGCTGGAATAAGGAGCTGCTGGAATAATGAGCTGCCGGAATAATGAGCTGCTGGATTAAGGAGCTGCTGGAATAATGAGCTGCTGGAATAATGAGCTGCTGGAATAATGAGCTGCCGGAATAATGAGCTTCTGGAATAGTAAGCTTCTGGAATAAGGAGCTGCTGGAATAGTAAGCTTCTGGAATAAGGAGCTGCCGGAATAATGAGATGCTGGAATAATGAGCTGCCGGAATAATGAGCTGCTGGCATAGTAAGGTTCTGGAATAAGGAGCTGCTGGAATAATGAGATGCTGGAATAATGAGCTGCCGGAATAATCAGCTGCTGGCATAGTAAGCTTCTGGAATAGTAAGCTTCTGGAATAAGTAGATGCTGGAATAATGAGCTACTGGAATAATGAGCTGCCGGAATAATGAGCTGCTGTCATAGTAAGCTTCTGGAATAAGGAGCTGCTGGAATAAGGATATGCTGGAATAAGGAGCTGCTGGAATAGTAATCTTCTGGAATAATGAGCTGCTGGAATAATGAGCTGCCGGAATAATGAGCTGCTGTCATAGTAAGCTTCTTGAATAAGGAGCTGCTGGAATAAGGAGCTGCTGGCATAGTAAGCTTCTGGAATAATGAGCTGCTGGAATAATGAGCTGTTGGAATAAGGAGCTTCTGGAATAGTAATCTTCTGGAATAAGGAGCTGCTGGAATGATGAGCTGCCGGAATAATGAGCTGCTGGCATAGTAAGCTTCTGGAATAATGAGCTGCTGGCATAATGAGATGCTGGATGAGGAGCTGCTGGAATAATGAGCTGCCGGAATAATGAGATGCTGGAATAAGGAGCTGCTGGAATAATGAGCTGCCGGAATAATGAGAGGCTGGAATAAGGAGCTGCTGGAATAATGAGCTGCCGGAATAATGAGCTGCTGTCATAGTAAGCTTCTGGAATAAGGAGCTGCTGGAATAAGGAGCTGCTGGAATAGTAAGCTTCTGGAATAATGAGCTTCTGGAATAATGAGCTGCCGGAATAATGAGCTGCTGTCATAGTAAGCTTCTGGAATAAGGAGCTGCTGGAATAAGGAGCTGCTGGCATAGTAAGCTTCTGGAATAAGGAGCTGCTGGAATAATGAGCTGCTGGAATAAGGAGCTTCTGGAATAGTAATCTTCTGGAATAAGGAGCTGCTGGAATGATGAGCTGCCGGAATAATGAGCTGCTGGCTCAGTAAGCTTCTGGAATAATGAGCTGCTGGAATAATGAGATGCTGGATGAGGAGCTGCTGGAATAATGAGCTGCCGGAATAATGAGATGCTGGAATAAGGAGCTGCTGGAATAATGAGCTGCCGGAATAATGAGATGCTGGAATAAGGAGCTGCTGGAATAATGAGCTGCCGGAATAATGAGATGCTGGAATAATGAGCTGCTGGAATAATGAGCTGCTGGAATAATGAGATGCTGGATGAGGAGCTGCTGGTATAATGAGCTGCCGGAATAATGAGATGCTGGATTAAGGAGCTGCTGGAATAAGGAGCTTCTGGAATAATGAGATGCTGGAATAAGGAGCTGCTGGAATAATGAGCTGCCTGAATAATGAGCTGCTGTCATAGTAAGCTTCTGGAATAATGAGCTGCCGGAATACTGAGCTGCTGGAATAATGAGCTGCCGGAATAATGAGCTGCTGGCTCAGTAAGCTTCTGGAATAATGAGCTGCTGGAATAATGAGCTGCTGGAATAAAGAGCTGCCGGAATAATGAGCCGCCGGAATAATGAGCTGCTGGAATAGTGAGCTACTGGAATAGTGAGCTACTGGAATAGTGAGCTGGTGAAATAATGAAACACGTCCCACGCCGTCATGGTACGATGAAACGTCAACGACGGTCTGTTAGTCTGAACAAGTGAAATAAGTGGTAGATAGTATGAGCAATGATGCTGATGACAGTCAGTCAGATGTAACTACCTTATCTTCAGACAAGCTGTGGGTACTGGGAGCCAATGACATACTGGAAATTCATCCTGATCCGGATTCCAAACAGGATAAAATCTTGATTCATCGCTAAACCACACTCGTCTCCAGTTTCTCAAATTCCAAGGTTGTAAGGTATGGCACCAACGCAAGCGTCGCTGTTGATGGATCAGTTGCAAAACAAAGTCGATAACCTCTCTTCTGGGTCGGATTCCAGCCTCGCGAAGATGGTTCCTGACAGTCTGGTCCGATATCCTCCTCAAACCAGGGATGCGTCCTGCAGTCTCCGTAGCTGTGACATTGCGATGACTTAGGTGGAACAGTCGAATGTAGCGATCTCGGACGGTCTGCAGTGGAATTGAACTGTGTATCGGTCACAAAGGCGGCAAATGGTGCTGAGGTGGACATTAAAGTAGCGTGCAACAGAAGACTGCGATTCCCCTCTTTGGATACGTCCTATGGCGAAGTTCCGATCGGCAGCACTGAGTCTCGGCATTTTCGTACTTGAAATATGTTGAGAATTGAATGACAAATTATTGGCTGATACTTACTTATAAAAATAGCCATTACCACGAGTTACGAATGCCATATACTTGCACGTGCATGTTGCTTTACTGTTTTCCTCCATGACATTTTTGAACAAGTGTGAAAACAATACCGTTTAAGACATTGCAAATGGACAATGGCATCGTTTCGACGCACCGTTTGTCGAATATCAGACCACCAACATTTTCCAATAACATATATCCAATTTATTTGCCGGAACGATTTTAGTCAGGCTCAATGAACTACATACTACCCGTGCGTTTCTTTTTTTGAAGAGTGTATACCACTCAAAAGAGGTTAAGGAACACCTGATTCTTTCCTATTACTATAGTTAATCTGTGATGGCAAAGGATCGGGTGTTCTTTCTTTGAGTAGTATATATTCAGCGAACATAGGCGTATCCCCTTAGCCATAAGCCCCCTCCGGACAGGACTCTGAATCCGCAGGACTATCTATTTATATGAACACAATATGCCATGTAGAAAGTGGTCAAATGTAACAAATGTTATATTTGGGATAACACATTCTAAGTAAAGTGCAGATTCTCGAGTCCCTACCGGGATTCGAACCCACACTGCCAGACTGAGGCACCTAATCGCCACCACACACCGAGACTTCCACAAAAATGAAAGTCCCACAACTGGTAGTCTAGATCACGTACTTTGTGTACCCTTCTGACAAGTGTTAATTGTACGTGATTAAGACTACCAGTTGTCGGACTTTCATTTTCATTTCACGGCTATTCGTGCCGATTGCTGAGGCCACCGCAGCACCAACAACTACATCGACGATAAAGGACAGCCGTCCGACTTCCTGCACTTGTGTAAGTGACAGCGCGTGCCCCCGCACCGGCCACTCAGTCAGGTTGTGCGTTCTGTCACGTGCTCACTAACATGTACCCTTTCGATCGTTATAAGCAATAAGTGAAGGGAAGCGGCCGTTCAATCCCTCTTGATGGATGTGAGCTCATTGCCGTCTTGGTGTTGTCTCTGCCACCATAGACCATATATATATAATAGGTGTAAAAGGCAAACTAGCAGCGAAAGGTGTATAAATCAGTGAAGACCAGTTGTTCGCGAAAAATGTAAAGACACGGATAATTTGATTTATTTATAATCGGTCTTGACATGCTTGAGCTTGTAAAAAGTGAGTGAGTGATTTTGGTTTGACGCCGCTTTTAACAGTATTCCTGTCATATCACGGCGTGTCAGCTTAATGTAGGAGGAAATCCCGATGTGATGCAGGTCTCAGACGTTTACCACTTTGGTGAAACCCACGAGCACGGGTATGATGCTGACAAACCTAGAAGCATAATCGGGCGAATCGGGAATCGAACCCACAATGTTAGGTTTCTGGCGAGTTTCAGCGCCTTAGACGACTGGGCTACCCGCGTACACTTCCGTCCACGTTTGTAACAGGAAGCAGTGGGGTAGGCAAATAGGTAGTGCGTCTTTTGTCTCGTCGATGACCAAGGTTGGATTCCAACTTGTTCCTCGCAGTAATAGAGCAAGGATATTACTAAAAGTCCACCTCACTCTCAATAACCGGCAAATGTACATATATTTTGCATATTCGCCTGCCCTCGTATGCAAATATTCGAGTCTGGACAAAACAATCCAGTGATTAATATCATGAGCATCGACCCACGCAAGTGGTTTGTTTGTTTGTTTGTTGTTTCACGCCGCACTCAGCAATATTCCAGCTATATGACGGCGGTCTGTAAATAATCGAGTCTGAACCAGACAATCCAATGACTGACATCATGAGCATCGATCCACGCATTTGGGATACGATGGCATGCATCAACCAAGTCAGCGAGTCTGACCACCCTATCCCGTTAGTCGCCTCTTACGACAAGCATAGTCGTCTATTCTACCCTGGATCTTCACGGGTCTGGGATTTAAGATTGGATTATTGTGCAACACATAAAGGAAAAGGTTCCAAATTGAGTGTTCACCATCTAAAGGTCAGTAACATTATAACAAATACATCTGATATAGCAATGAAAGTAGGTAATCTGTAGCTGAATATACCTTATAATTGTGTATTAATAGTTCACAAAATTTCAAGGACAACAAGAGAACACTATAGTTCTGATAATGTTGAGGGCATTACAACGAAATCTCCCTATGCATAAGTTGCATACTACAAGCTACAGAAACCAGATAATGTTCATTTGCTAGTACTTTAACACTCTGTTTCATGTTTAGGAACACTATCAAATACATTTGACAATACGTTGACAACGGCGTAATGTTATGGTTCTTCTGATACATAATCTGACCATGATCATACTGATCGTTTTTATTATAGCTCACTATCAGTAACTACCTGTGTTTTGTAAGACCATGGGTAGAATGGTCAATAACCGGTAAATATGGAACTAAGAAATGTTCTGTGACTTGCCTATGACAATCTGTGACTTGCCTATGCATGTATTTGTGACAGCCGCCACCGGTTAAGCAGGACACGCTGACCTTTCCGCCAACACCTGGTATCATCATTATTTTAAAGTGATTCATAAACACGTACATTTGGTATAGTTGGAATCGTACAATTGACTCTTCCTTATAATCATGATTGTGTATGGGTCCCAATATGTCGGATATTAATATCAAGATAGAGATGTCCCAAAAGGTAGCATATCGTCATTAACTTTATTTAGTATTTAAATGGATAGTCTATCAACAGTTTTAAATGACGCTGTTGGTGGGTCATTGTTTATGGATTATTATAATGTAATCTGACGAGTTAAAATTATAGACACTATTGAGACAGTTGAAGAGACGTATCAGTACATCAATGACTGGTGAATACCTAACGACTTGAACATTTTCAAAATGAAAACCTAATTGCTTTTGAACAGCCAATATTAACCATATAGTGAAAAAAATATCAAGCTGGCACTCCAATTACGTTTGTGAAGGAGGCCAAGTTCCTAGATGTATCATATGACCATCATCTCACGTTTCTGCTTCATATTAAAATAATCATAAAATATGGTTTCAAATTCAAGGTTGGGAGGGGTCCATTCAGCCTTTCATTTGTACGTATCATATAGCCTTTCTAAACTGGGCTATGATGGAGTCATAAAAGTACCCATAATGTACCTCATTCTATTCATCCTCAAGTTAACAGACACTGTGTTGGATCTTTCAGAACATCTCTTATTAACATTCAGTACACTGAGGCCTACACAGTGAGTCATACAGCATAGAACTGCGTTTTAATGCTCTTCGTGACGACCTTTACGAATAAGAATTCATATCTTATTCCATCTCCTGGCATAAGAATAACCTTATTTACAGACGGACTCAGAACGATAAAATCAAGATTGTCAGATAACAACTCCATTTTCAGAAAACCAAATGCCAGTTAACAGTTCCGAAATTAGTCAATACCCAGTCTCGGCAAGCATAGTCGCCTCTTACGACAAGCATAGTCGCCTTTTACGGCAATCATGGGTTGCTGAACATGCCGTAAAAGGCGACTATGCTTGTCGTAAGAGGCGACTAACGGGATCGGGTGGTTAGGCTCGCTTACTTGGTTGATACATGTCATCGATCCCAACTGCGAGGATCGATGCTCATGATGTCAGTCACTGGATTGTCTGGTCCAGACTCGATTATTTACAGACCGCCGTCATATAGCTGGAATATTTAAAATAGTTTAATTGTATCGGACCTAATTAGTGTCATTGGTGAGCTAAAGCTGGAAATGTCCTCCACACGACATCGTCTCCAAACTTGTGTTGTCGAGAGGTTTGTTGTCAGAAAGAACGGAGTGGAACGTTTGAAAGAAAATGGCTGCCAGTGCTTGCAACCTTTAACTGAATAAGGTTTCTTTCATGCAAGTCACGTACAGTGATTTTGTCTCAAGTTATGCCTTGAAAGCTGACCACTAAAGACGTTTTATTGTTTCCCTGGGGGTCTAATAGACAGATTAAAACAATGAAAGCAATTATTTTTATTTCATGAAATATGATACTTTGTTTTTCAATACATGTATGTATGTCGATTCTTTTGTTCAGCAAGTCCACAAAATACCAAAATCGTGAACAGGTGTAAGGTAGTTCATGACAATATGAAATTAGAGAAGAAAACGAAATATGAAAAACACCCACAAAAAACACCGCCCACACAACACACACAAGAGCTTACAAAAAAATTATGTATTTATTTTGTGATACTGCAATAGTTTTGAGAGTGTATTTATTAGAACTGTAATCAACTAGTGTCCTGTCCAGTTTCATGGTCAGAATCGAACCGCCAATTGTTGGTTCGAAGTTCACATTCGTGCCGTCTTAATTTGACTTCTTAATTGGGGTTAATTGGGATATAAACATCTTTAAGTTTTCATTTCAAAGGTTTCGAAGGGGTATTCGTTATCAATAAGTTTGATTTGAAACCTATTGCATGAAGTATCAAACTTGAAAACGGTGCGTCGGTGCGACGTTGTAAGTTAACAAGACCTACGCGCTATTTCATATTGCTTTTTGAGCGAAAGTTGGGATTGAAATCGTTCGTATATCGGTACTTTCTAAGAAATTATTTCTTTTGTAGTCAAGCCGTTGGCAGACCAATGAGAATGTAGATTTTACAAATATCGACACTGTTGTTTGTTTATTATGACGACTGATACGGTGTTCGAGCTATCCCACGGCAGTCTGCATATAATCGAGGACAGAGTAGACATGACGGAGACTGGAAATCTTTTATTGTAAATATTTGATTTACCTGTTAATCCAATTTCTTCACTTAATGGCGATTTTTAAGAAGATACATATTTTTTTTGAAGCCACTGTAGAGATCCAATGTTCATGGTATCAAATCATATGTTTCCCCAGTTATATTAAGCCTGGATGATTTACATGATCATATAATCTGTTATATTGGTGACATCAACATTTATATAAACCTAACCGAGAACGAGTCGTTTCAACATGATCCCGTGAGAGGACTGGTCATCTGCATGCTTGTCGTCAAATCCGTGTAAAAGGTTTCGGTTGGCCAGTCTCTGTGGCGACCCGTGAAGATTCCGGGGTAGACTAGGTCTTCAGCAACCCATGCATGCGCAAAAGGCGACTATGCTTGTCGTAAAAGGCGACTAACGGGATCGGGTGGTCAGGCTCGCTGACTTGGTGTATGCATGTCATCGATCCCAACTGCGTGGATCGATGTTCATGATGTCAATCACTAGGGTTGTGTGGTCCAGACTCGTTTATTTGCAGACCGCCGTCATATAGCTGGAATATTGCTGAGTGCGGCGTTAAACAACAAAGCAACCAACCAACTCTGTGGCAATGTCGTCGGTCGGGGCTCATAATATCAATCACTGGATTGTCTGGTCCAGATTATATGTTTTTACAGGCCGCCGTCATATAGCTGGAATGTTGCCGATTTCGACGTTAAACAAACAAACAAACAAACAAACAAACAAACACAATAATCATAATGCGGGAAGAACAGATGCAATGTTTGAACATTATCGCTTGCCGATGGACCCCTCAAGACTGCTGATGCGGCGTTAAGCAACACTTACTCATTCACTTGCCTTAAGAGACACGCTATGTTTCTTTGCATGCCGTGTGAGCAGGGACAAAAGAACCTCCCAGGAAGCAAGCTTGTCTTGTAGCCCACACATCCAGCTTCAGTGCACATAAACCCCGCCGCGATAACCTGATATCTGACCGGTGCATCATAACCCACACCACCACTAATGACCAACGTGTGTCAGCATGTAACGAATCACTCTATTAGCCTGCTGCTGTTATTCCATGAGTCACATACTTGTATTTCATTCTTGACGTCTTTATTTATTAAATACTGGACAAATCCCATCCACAGTTATACTCGACCATCAGTTCACCTGCTGACTTCTTTTATGACACACTGCCGGATCAACCCGGTCTGGGAGTACTGATCGCCTTTAATATTGTTAATTTATTGAGATGTTTGGATCTCATTTTAAGACAATGATATATAGGGTCATACAATTAACTCACGCCAGACGGGTGATTGGAGATAACGATTTGAACAATGACTATATCTCCAGGGTCGGCTCGGAGTCAGTATACTGTATCTGAGTGGGGTATTCATTATTAACTGCGGCATGGTATCTCAGTTGGCTAGCACTATCAATCGGCATCAGTCCGATCCAGTACAAGCAGCCAAACACACACACGTGCATGTACATTGCCATATAGATGCAATAGTTTTGGACGCGATGTTAAATCCCATGTCACCTCCCCTCTAACTCAACGACCTCCTACTCCACCAACTCCTCCACAACCTTCTACTCCACCACCTCCTCCATCACCATCTCGAACACCTCCTACTCCACAACCTCCTCCTCCACCACCTTCTACTCCACCACCTCCTACTCCACCACCTCCTACTCCACCACCCACTCCACCATCTTCTTCTCCACCACCTCCTACTCCACCACCTCCTACTCCACCACCTCCTCCACCACCATCTTCTTCTCCACAACCTCCTACTCCACCACCTCTTACTCCACCACCTCCTACTCCACCACCTCCTCCACCACCTTCTACTCCACCACGTCCTACTCCACCAGCTCCTACTCCACAACCTGCTCCACCACCTTCTACTCCACCACCTCCTTCACCATCTCCTACTCCACCACCTTCTACACCACCAACTCCTACTCCACCACCTTCTACTCCACCACCTTCTACTCCACCACCTCCTCCACCATCTCCTACTCCACCAAGTCCTCCTCCAACACCTCATACTCCACCACCTCCTCCAACACCTTCTACTCCACACCACCTCCTCCACTACCTTCTACTCCACCACCTCCCACTCCACCACCTTCTACTCCACCACCTCCTACTCCACCACCTTCTACTCCACCACCTCCTCCACCATCTCCTACTCCACCACCTTCTACTCCACCACCTCCTCCACCATCTCCTACTCCACCACCTTCTACACCACCACCTCCTCCACCATCTCCTACTCCACCACCTTCTACACCACCAACTCCTACTCCACCACCTTCTACTCCACCACCTTCTAACCCAACACCTTCTCCACCATCTCCTACTCCACCACCTCCTACTCCACCAAGTCCACCTCCAACACCTCATACTCCACCACCTCCTCCATCACCTTCTACTCCACACTACCTCTTACTCCACCACCTCCTCCACCACCTTCTACTCCACCTCCTTCTACTCGACCACCTTCTACTCCACACCACCTCCTACTCCACCACCTCCTACTCCACCACCTCCTACACCACCACCTCCTACACCACCACCTTCTACTCCACCACCTCCTACACCACCACCTTCTACTCCACCACCTTCTACTCCACCACCTCCTCCACCATCTCCTACTCCACCAAGTCCTCCTCCAACACCTCATTCTCCACCACCTCCTCCAACACCTTCTACTCCACACCACCTCCTCCACTACCTTCTACTCCACCACCTCCCACTCCACCACCTTCTACTCCACCACCTCCTACTCCACCACCTCCTACTCCACCACCTTCTACTCCACCACCTCCTCCACCATCTCCTACTCGACCACCTTCTACACCACCAACTCCTACTCCACCACCTTCTACTCCACCACCTCCTCCACCATCTCCTACTCCACCACCTTCTACACCACCAACTCCTACTCCACCACCTTCTACTCCACCACCTTCTAACCCAACACCTTCTCCACCATCTCCTACTCCACCACCTCCTACTCCACCAAGTCCACCTCCAACACCTCATACTCCACCACCTCCTCCATCACCTTCTACTCCACACTACATGTACCTCTTACTCCACCAACACCTCCACCACCTTCTACTCCACCTCCTTCTACTCGACCACCTTCTACTCCACACCACCTCCTACTCCACCACCTTCTACTCCACCACCTCCTACACCACCACCTCCTACTCCACCATCTCCTACTCCACCACCTCCTACTCCACCACCTCCTACTCCACCACCTCCTACACCACCACCTCCTACTCCACCACCTCCTACACCACCACCTCCTACTCCACCACCTCCTACACCACCACCTCCTACTCCACCACCTCCTACTCCACCACCTCCTACACCACCACCTCCTACTCCACCACCTCCTACACCACCACCTCCTACTCCACCACCTCCTACTCCACCACCTCCTACACCACCACCTTCTACTCCACCACCTCCTACACCACCACCTTCTACTCCACCACCTTCTACTCCACCACCTCCTACACCACCACCTCCTACTCCACCACCTCCACCACTACCTTCTACTCCACCACCTCCCACTCCACCACCTTCTACTCCACCACCTTCTACTCCACCACCTTCTACTCCACCACCTTCTACTCCACCACCTCCTACACCACCACCTTCTACTCCACCACCTTCTACTCGACCACCTTCTACTCCACACCACCTCCTACTCCACCACCTTCTACACCACCACCTCCTACTCCACCACCTCCTACTCCACCACCTCCTACACCACCACCTTCTACTCCACCACCTCCTACACCACCACCTTCTACTCCACCACCTTCTACTCCACCACCTCCTACACCACCACCTCCTACTCCACCACCTCCACCACTACCTTCTACTCCACCACCTCCCACTCCACCACCTTCTACTCCACCACCTTCTACTCCACCACCTTCTACTCCACCACCTTCTACTCCACCACCTCCTACTCCACCACCTCCTACACCACCACCTTCTACTCCACCACCTCCTACACCACCACCTTCTACTCCACCACCTTCTACTCCACCACCTCCTACACCACCACCTGCTACTCCACCACCTCCACCACTACCTTCTACTCCACCACCTCCCACTCCACCACCTTCTACTCCACCACCTTCTACTCCACCACCTTCTACTCCACCACCTTCTACTCCACCACCTCCTACTCCACCACCTCCCACTCCACCACCTTCTACTCCACCACCTCCCACTCCACCACCTCCCACTCCACCACCTTCTACTCCACCACCTTCTACTCCACCACCTTCTACTCCACCACCTTCTACTCCACCACCTCCTACTCCACCACTTCCTACTCAACCACCTTCTACTCCACCACCTCCTCCACAACCTTCTACTCCACCACCTCCTCCATCACCATCTCGAACACCTCCTACTCCACAACCTCCTCCTCCACCACCTTCTACTCCACCACCTCCTACTCCACCACCTCCTACTCCACCACCCACTCCACCATCTTCTTCTCCACCACCTCCTACTCCACCACCTCCTACTCCACCACCTCCTCCACCACCATCTTCTTCTCCACAACCTCCTACTCCACAACCTCTTACTCCACCACCTCCTACTCCACCACCTCCTCCACCACCTTCTACTCCACCACGTCCTACTCCACCAGCTCCTACTCCACAACCTGCTCCACCACCTTCTACTCCACCACCTCCTTCACCATCTCCTACTCCACCACCTTCTACACCACCAACTCCTACTCCACCACCTTCTACTCCACCACCTTCTACTCCACCACCTCCTCCACCATCTCCTACTCCACCAAGTCCTCCTCCACCACCTCATACTCCACCACCTCCTCCAACACCTTCTACTCCAGAACCACCTCCTCCACTACCTTCTACTCCACCACCTCCCACTCCACCACCTTCTACTCCACCACCTCCTACTCCACCACCTTCTACTCCACCACCTCCTCCACCATCTCCTACTCCACCACCTTCTACTCCACCACCTCCTCCACCATCTCCTACTCCACCACCTTCTACACCACCACCTCCTCCACCATCTCCTACTCCACCACCTTCTACACCACCAACTCCTACTCCACCACCTTCTACTCCACCACCTTCTAACCCAACACCTTCTCCACCATCTCCTACTCCACCACCTCCTACTCCACCAAGTCCACCTCCAACACCTCATACTCCACCACCTCCTCCATCACCTTCTACTCCACACTACCTCTTACTCCACCACCTCCTCCACCACCTTCTACTCCACCTCCTTCTACTCGACCACCTTCTACTCCACACCACCTCCTACTCCACCACCTCCTACTCCACCACCTCCTACACCACCACCTCCTACACCACCACCTTCTACTCCACCACCTCCTACACCACCACCTTCTACTCCACCACCTTCTACTCCACCACCTCCTCCACCATCTCCTACTCCACCAAGTCCTCCTCCAACACCTCATTCTCCACCACCTCCTCCAACACCTTCTACTCCACACCACCTCCTCCACTACCTTCTACTCCACCACCTCCCACTCCACCACCTTCTACTCCACCACCTCCTACTCCACCACCTCCTACTCCACCACCTTCTACTCCACCACCTCCTCCACCATCTCCTACTCGACCACCTTCTACACCACCAACTCCTACTCCACCACCTTCTACTCCACCACCTCCTCCACCATCTCCTACTCCACCACCTTCTACACCACCAACTCCTACTCCACCACCTTCTACTCCACCACCTTCTAACCCAACACCTTCTCCACCATCTCCTACTCCACCACCTCCTACTCCACCAAGTCCACCTCCAACACCTCATACTCCACCACCTCCTCCATCACCTTCTACTCCACACTACATGTACCTCTTACTCCACCAACTCCTCCACCACCTTCTACTCCACCTCCTTCTACTCGACCACCTTCTACTCCACACCACCTCCTACTCCACCACCTTCTACTCCACCACCTCCTACACCACCACCTCCTACTCCACCATCTCCTACTCCACCACCTCCTACTCCACCACCTCCTACTCCACCACCTCCTACACCACCACCTCCTACTCCACCACCTCCTACACCACCACCTCCTACTCCACCACCTCCTACACCACCACCTCCTACTCCACCACCTCCTACTCCACCACCTCCTACACCACCACCTCCTACTCCACCACCTCCTACACCACCACCTCCTACTCCACCACCTCCTACTCCACCACCTCCTACACCACCACCTTCTACTCCACCACCTCCTACACCACCACCTTCTACTCCACCACCTTCTACTCCACCACCTCCTACACCACCACCTCCTACTCCACCACCTCCACCACTACCTTCTACTCCACCACCTCCCACTCCACCACCTTCTACTCCACCACCTTCTACTCCACCACCTTCTACTCCACCACCTTCTACTCCACCACCTCCTACTCCACCACCTCCCACTCCACCACCTTCTACTCCACCACCTCCCACTCCACCACCTCCCACTCCACCAACTTCTACTCCACCACCTCTTACACCACCTCCTACACCACCACCTTCTACTCCACCACCTTCTACTCCACCACCTCCTACACCACCACCTTCTACTCCAACACCCCCTACTCCACCACCTCCTACACCACCACCTTCTACTCCACCACCTCCTCCACCACCACCTCCACCACGACCTTCTACTCCAACACCTTCTACTCCAACACCTCCTATTCCAACACCTCCTACTCCACCACCTCTTACTCCACCACCTCCTACTCTACCAACTTCTACTCCACCACCTTCTACTCCACCACCTCCTACTCCACCACCTCCTACTCCACCACCTTCTACTCCACCACCTCCTGCTCCACCACCTTCTACTTCACCACCTCCTACTCCACCACCTCCTCCACCATCTCCTACTCCACCAAGTCCTCCACCAACACCTCATACTCCACCACCTCCTCCAACACCTTCTACTCCACACCACCTCCTCCACCACCTTCTACACCACCAACTCCTACTCCACCACCTTCTACTCCACCACCTTCTACTCCACCACCTCCTCCACCATCTCCTACTCCACCAAGTCCTCCTCCAACACCTCATACTCCACCACCTCCTCCAACACCTTCTACTCCACACCACCTCCTCCACCACCTTCTACTCCACCAACTCCCAATCCACCACCTTCTACTCCACCACCTCCTACTCCACCACCTCCTACTCCACCACCTTCTACTCCACCACCTCCTCCACCATCTCCTACTCCACCACCTTCTACACCACCAACTCCTCCATCATCTCCTACTCCACCACCTTCTACACCACCAACTCCTACTCCACCACCTTCTACTCCACCACCTTCTACTCCACCACCTTCTAATCCAACACCTTCTTCACCATCTCCTACTCCACCACCTCCTATTCCACCAAGTCCACCTCCAACACCTCATACTCCACCACCTCCTCCATCACCTTCTACTCCACACTACCTCTTACTCCACCACCTTCTACTCCACCTCCTTCTACTCGACCACCTTCTACTCCACACCACCTCCCACTCCATCACCTCCTACTCCACCACCTTCTACTCCACCACCTCCTACACCACCACCTTCTACTCCACCACATTCTACTCCACCACCTCCTACTCCACCACCTTCTACTCCACCACCTCTTACTCCACCACCTCCTACTCCACCACCTTCTACTCCACCACCTCCTCCACCACCACCTCCACCACTACCTTCTACTCCAACACCTTCTACTCCAACACCTCCTATTCCAACACCTCCTACTCCACCACCTCTTACTCCACCACCTCCTACTCCACCACCTCCTACTCCACCACCTTCTACTCCACCACCTCCTCCACCATCTCCTACTCCACCACCTTCTACACCACCAACTCCTACTCCACCACCTTCTACTCCACCACCTCCTCCATCATCTCCTACTCCACCACCTTCTACACCACCAACTCCTACTCCACCACCTTCTACTCCACCACCTTCTAATCCAACACCTTCTCCACCATCTCCTACTCCACCACCTCCTACTCCACCAAGTCCACCTCCAACACCTCATACTCCACCACCTCCTCCATCACCTTCTACTCCACACTACCTCTTACTCCACCACCTCCTCCACCACCTTCTACTCCACCTCCTTCTACTCGACCACCTTCTACTCCACACCACCTCCTACTCCACCACCTCCTACTCTACCACCTCCTACACCACCACCTCCTACACCACCACCTCCTACACCACCACCTCCCACTCCACCACCTTCTACTCCACCACCTCCTACTCCACCACCTCCTACACCACCACCTCCTACTCCACCACCTCCTACACCACCACCTCCTACACCACCACCTCCTACACCACCAACTCCTACTCCACCACCTCCTACTCCACCACCTTCTACTCCACCACCTCCTACACCACCACCTCCTACACCACCACCTCCTACACCACCACCTTCTACTCCAACACCCCCTACTCCACCACCTCCTACTCCACCACCTTCTACTCCACCACCTCCTCCACCACCACCTCCACCACTACCTTCTACTCCAACACCTTCTACTCCAACACCTCCTGTTCCAACACCTCCTACTCCACCACCTCTTACTCCACCACCTCCTACTCTACCAACTTCTACTCCACCACCTTCTACTCCACCACCTCCTACTCCACCACCTCCTACTCCACCACCTTCTACTCCACCACCTCCTGCTCCACCACCTTCTACTTCACCACCTCCTACTCCACCACCTCCTCCACCATCTCCTACTCCACCAAGTCCTCCACCAACACCTCATACTCCACCACCTCCTCCAACACCTTCTACTCCACACCACCTCCTCCACCACCTTCTACACCACCAACTCCTACTCCACCACCTTCTACTCCACCACCTTCTACTCCACCACCTCCTCCACCATCTCCTACTCCACCAAGTCCTCCTCCAACACCTCATACTCCACCACCTCCTCCAACACCTTCTACTCCACACCACCTCCTCCACCACCTTCTACTCCACCACCTCCCAATCCACCACCTTCTACTCCACCACCTCCTACTCCACCACCTCCTACTCCACCACCTTCTACTCCACCACCTCCTCCACCATCTCCTACTCCACCACCTTCTACACCACCAACTCCTCCATCATCTCCTACTCCACCACCTTCTACACCACCAACTCCTACTCCACCACTTTCTACTCCACCACCTTCTACTCCACCACCTTCTAATCCAACACCTTCTTCACCATCTCCTACTCCACCACCTCCTACTCCACCAAGTCCACCTCCAACACCTCATACTCCACCACCTCCTCCATCACCTTCTACTCCACACTACCTCTTACTCCACCACCTTCTACTCCACCTCCTTCTACTCGACCACCTTCTACTCCACACCACCTCCCACTCCATCACCTCCTACTCCACCACCTTCTACTCCACCACCTCCTACACCACCACCTTCTACTCCACCACATTCTACTCCACCACCTCCTACTCCACCACCTTCTACTCCACCACCTCTTACTCCACCACCTCCTACTCCACCACCTTCTACTCCACCACCTCCTCCACCACCACCTCCACCACTACCTTCTACTCCAACACCTTCTACTCCAACACCTCCTATTCCAACACCTCCTACTCCACCACCTCTTACTCCACCACCTCCTACTCCACCACCTCCTACTCCACCACCTTCTACTCCACCACCTCCTCCACCATCTCCTACTCCACCACCTTCTACACCACCAACTCCTACTCCACCACCTTCTACTCCACCACCTCCTCCATCATCTCCTACTCCACCACCTTCTACACCACCAACTCCTACTCCACCACCTTCTACTCCACCACCTTCTAATCCAACACCTTCTCCACCATCTCCTACTCCACCACCTCCTACTCCACCAAGTCCACCTCCAACACCTCATACTCCACCACCTCCTCCATCACCTTCTACTCCACACTACCTCTTACTCCACCACCTCCTCCACCACCTTCTACTCCACCTCCTTCTACTCGACCACCTTCTACTCCACACCACCTCCTACTCCACCACCTCCTACTCCACCACCTCCTACACCACCACCTCCTACACCACCACCTCCTACACCACCACCTCCCACTCCACCACCTTCTACTCCACCACCTCCTACTCCACCACCTCCTACACCACCACCTCCTACTCCACCACCTCCTACACCACCACCTCCTACACCACCACCTCCTACACCACCACCTCCTACTCCACCACCTCCCACTCCACCACCTTCTACTCCACCACCTCCTACACCACCACCTCCTACACCACCACCTCCTACACCACCACCTCCTACACCACCACCTCCTACACCACCACCTCCTACTCCACCACCTCCTACACCACCACCTCCTACTCCACCACCTTCTACTCCACCACCTCCTACACGACCACCTCCTACTCCACCATCTCCTACTCCACCACCTTCTACTCCACCACCTCCTACTCCACCACCTCCTACACCACCACCTTCTACTCCACCACCTCCTACTCCACCACCTTCTACTCCACCACCTTCTACTCCACCACCTTCTACTCCACCACCTCATACTCCACCACCTCCCACTCCACCACCTTCTACTCCACCACCTCCTACTCCACCACCTCCTACTCCACCACCTCCTACTCCACCGCCTTCTACTCCACCACCTTCTACACCACCACCTCCTACACCACCACCTTCTACTCCACCACCTTCTACTCCACCACCTCCTACTCCACCACCTCCTACACCACCACCTCCTACTCCACCACCTCCTACACCACCACCTCCTACACCACCACCTCCTACTCCACCACCTCCTACTCCACCACCTTCTACTCCACCACCTTCTACTCCACCACCTCATACTCCACCACCTCCCACTCCACCACCTTCTACTCCACCACCTCCTACTCCACCACCTTCTACTCCACCACCTCCTACTCCACCGCCTTCTACTCCACCACCTTCTACACCACCACCTCCTACACCACCACCTTCTACTCCACCACCTCCTACTCCATCACCTTCTACTCCCCCACCTCCTTCTCCACCACCTCCTACACCACCACCTCTTAATCCACCTCCACCGAACCCCGTCCCTAGTGCAGGCACCCACCCACCCGTAC